AAGTCCGCAGCTGTAATTTACAAGTTCATTAACAGTGTCCCTGCAAGCTTTTTATTTTTTTATTTTTTTAACCTGGCACCCTAATTAGCAATGAATTCTCATTATTTCTCATTGAAATCCCCAAGCAGCTTTGGCACATTCTCTTTGTTCTTTTGAAAAGTGGGAGGTAGAGAAGCCTCAGGGAGATAAAGAAACAGCAGGTTATATTCTGGGGGCAGGGTGTTTTCCTATAGAGCCATTCCTTCCATTTAATACATTTGCAGCAATTTTGCTTATTATTTATAAGGTGAAGAAGTAACTGTTTCCATAAAGAAGCCTTAATCTCATCCTGGACTATCTGCCTGTTGGGTATGGCATGCTGGAGGTTGGGCTCCTGTCTGTTCCATTGGCCAAGCACTGTGCTGGCTTCAAGAGGAACGTGGGCACAAATCCAAGCAGCAGCCATGAGAAAAAGCCCAGGGTCAGCCCAAGAAATAGCAAGCAGCCCCCACAATTAGAGTGCAGAGAAGTATCATCAGTCAAGGCCTTCATTAGCACCAATGTGAGTGGGACGGTGGCTTGATGGCCCCAGTACCTGTGCTCAATGCACAGAATGATGGAGGAAACGCTTGGGGATCCTGGTAGATTCTCAGATATTCTTTTTTCTGAGAGCTGGAAAATCATGACACATTGATTCCCCAGTCCTCCTACAAATCATTTTGATAATAAAGGCCCACCTGTGACATTAAGTACATTTTAATTACAACACTGTCTGTAATGCATATATCTAATTGCAAATAATTACTTTATCATATTTTGTCAGTATGCCTGTTATATGCATCAGATATTATCTTCTGACTCAGTGGTACAGGTTAATTAAAATTTCGCTTTTAATACTGTTTCAAAGCTAACCACATAATTTCATCTGAACACCAGCTGCATTATTTTTTATTATTTTTTTGTCATGCTTGTATATAGAGGAAAACACAAGCCATTTCTAAAGGCTATAATTACTGCACTGCTCTCCACAGTAATTTACTTGGAAAAGGGAAGGGAAGGGAAGGGAAGGGAAGGGAAGGGATTTCTTTCAGAAGGAATTAACATGTTATGTAGCCATGATTTAAAGGATGTCTCAATGGCATAAACTGGGGTTAAGGTGATAAACGTGGTTACTCTCAATACTAACAAAGCATGTGGAAGCCCCATCCCTGGAGGCATTCAAGGCCAGGCTGGACGTGGCTCTGGGCAGCCTGATCTGATGGTTGGTGACCCTGCACGTAGCAGGGTTCAAACTGGATGATCATTGTGGTCCCTTTCAATCCAGGCCATTCTATGATTCTACACCTTCAGCTTCTTTTCCTGGTTCCAAGCTAAGCAGCACAGAAAGGCTTCTCCATGCCAATGGGATCTGGGTGTTTCCTTCTGGGAGGTATCAAGGGACATGCAATCCACATTCTTTCTATCTGTTTTTTTTTTTTCCATCCATAAATTCCTGCCTGTCCCTCTACACACAGACTGCAACCCAGACAGAAGGAAATCTGACATCCTTTTTGGATGGCTTTTTTTTTTCCTGGCCCCCATTTTTACTATATGAATGATATTTTGATGTCTCGGGTGCTGCAAAAAACTTTGCATTAGAACCTTTGCGCTAAGGAAATGATTATCTCACCTGTATGTTATTTAGGAGGCAAGTTTCCTTATTTACCTTTCCCCTACCCTTTTCTTCCAGGACCATAATGAAGCGTGGCATTGACACAAGTAAGAGGAGAAGTTCCGTAATTCAATCTGTCATTAAAATTTCAGCCTGCAAAGGAAAAGCAGCCATGCCTGTTCATCAGGTCTGTGTTGCAGGACTGCTCACCCTCACTGCAGAGAGCCAACGAGCTGCACTGGGGTTTGTCATGATTTTCATTACAACTGTATTCCATGCATTTTGTTACACGTTAGGGTGAGTCCCTGCTCTTTGGCCATTAGAATGTGATTGGTGTGATGTGAAATTTAGAAAACATGCATGTCCTAAAGATCGTAGTAAGTAGATCCATAGCTCTCAGCTCCCCTCCAAGGCAGCTCTGTTGGAAAACCAGAGCCCATGACAGCAGCCTGGCAAAGCTAAAGACGAGCCATGAGCCACCTCCACCCACAGCAACAGCTTCCAAGCAGCACAGAGTGATAAGGGATTACTGCTTTGTCTCTTTGTTTGCCTCCTTACACAATTTGCTTTATATAGATTTTACTTCAGATCCTGAAAACTGAATGATCTAATCGTTTTCAGGAAATTCATCTACCTCAGGCATCAACTTTTGGAAATGCATCATCTGGTTTTCTGGGCAACCGCAGCTTGTCGCATGGTGAGAAAACATAAGTCATAGGATTTTATGAATGGTTCCCCAGTGCAAGCTGACATAATCGCTGCAAGTTTATTGTTATTTCTGTTTTCCATTATTTTACATCAAACCATAAGCAAATCCTCTGAGAAGTTGTGTTTCATGATTTATGCAAGCATTATTGTGGATAATAATAATAACTGGAACAGGTTGCCCAAGGAGGCTGTGGATGCCCCATCCCTGCAGGCATTCAAGGCCAGGCTGGATGTGGCTCTGGGCAGCCTGGGCTGCTGGTTGGTGACCCTGCACACAGCAGGGGGTTGGAACTGGATGAGCATTGTGGTCCTTTTCAACCCATTCTATGATTCCATAATCTTTAGTTCCTACAGGTATGTATTATTTGAATCTATTTGCTTACCTAAAACTGAGAGGAGACATTGTTCAACGTGCTTTCTCCTCCATGTTGCTCCAACTGCTAGTTCTTAATAGAAGACAAAGGAATTTTGCACTGTGAAGATCAGCAAACATGTGGGGATGCAATTAGAAGCAGCAAAAATATTGTGCTCATTGTATTCCGTGTGGCACGTGACATGTGGAAGGAAATGGGAGTTATATGATCCAACGTCAAATGCAAAGACATAAAAAATAAATGCGAAAAATTGTCTGACATCTCAATAGCTTCCAATTCAAAAGCATTTTAATAGCCTGTGTATTTCCAAGTAATATAAATTAAGCATAGAATCTACTGAGGAGCAGTCTGTCATCACATGCTGTGTGGAAGTGCCTTAATTTCTGGGAGCTTGACGGGTCTTCTTTCAGTGAATAATGTCAGTGTTTTCCTCTTTACCAATCTGCTTATTTCTTATTTCAGAAGAACCCCAGCCATAGAGAGATCGGATTTAGCCCTCACTCAAGCAGAAAGCACGCTAACATTTCACTGTAAGAGCAGCTGGTTTGAACTTGGCCCTCACGCCCTGCATGTTCAGCACCAAGAGATGGTCTGCAAACCTCAGCTGGCTGCTCACAACACATCCGTTCAGCAGTGTCCGCAGATACAAACTTCACACCCCGCAATGAAATCACTTCCTGCCACCTACATGCAGCATTAGAGGCACTTTTTCATCTCTTCACTTCAGTGGTGCGCAAAGACTGAGTTCAAATAACCTTAATTCTATGATGAAAGCGCACAATTAAAAACAAAAACAAGCCCCAAACCCTCACTCTAATTATGGTAACGTTAAGCTCTGCTGAATCACTGAGCTCTTCATGTGACCGCATTTTCCATCTTCTAACAGGGAAAGAAAGGAGTGTTGTCCTGCAGCACTATGATCCAGGTCATGAAATCTATATTCTGTGGAGCTCGGCAAGAGAGGAATTCCTGGCAAACTGTCCATCAGTGAATGCCTAACGCTCTGCAGTTAGGTGCTAGGCACCAAAATTGCATAGTTATCACAAATGTCATTAAATATCAGAGAAGCTACATAGCTGCAGTAGCTTTAAAGTCATAGGTTGGTTTTTTTGTTGTTGTTGTTGTTGTTGCTGTTATTTTGTTTTTAATAAAGTAAAAAAAGACAAAAGCATGGAAATGTCAGCAATTGCCAACAGAGACAACCAGAAAGCTCTTGTTTTAAGCCAGTTAAAGCAAAAGGAAAGGGGAAAAAAAAAAAAAAAAAGAAAAAAAAAAAAAGAAAAGGAAAAAGCGAGCCAAAATTTTAGCCCTGCGCTTCCTTAGCCAACTGCACGTATTGATTTGTGGCAATGAAAGAGAAAAGTTGGGATGGCTTCATTCGCTCTTCTCAGGAAGCTGCAGATATTCAACTTGCAGCACGTGACAAATAATTTCAGACAGATTTATAGCTGTTCCAGAAGGAGACATTGTGTAACAGCGTAGGGGAAAGATACACACTCTGAATTACTGTAAACCTTAAGCGGGCTCCAAGACAATAGACTCCTGAACAATAATACATTCTCTTTTACTGGTGGCAAGGTCATGCTTTCCAACCTTTTTCTTTAATGAGGATTTTTGCTTTGTTTAACGCTTGTTCCCCTTCCTGTACGTCCATCCCAGCAGCACGCTCTGGTGGCCAAGAAGGCCAATGGTGTCCTGGGGTACATGACACAGAACGAGGCCAGCAGGGCGAGGAGGTGATCCCTTCCATCCAATTCTGTGATGCTGTGACCTCACTCTGAGATTTACTAAAGTTCACTTTTCTGACCAGAATATTACTGACAGGCCTTCAGTCAAGCCCTGTTGGGTTCAGATTCTGAGAAAAAAACACAGTTTTGCTGTTGAACTGCAAATCTGCTCACCGTTTGTCTTTACTTGGACGCCACACACAAGACCCGCTGTGCTCCACACGGCACCCCACCCCACCCCACCCCGCGCCGCGCTCCCGCACAGCACCTGCACGTGCTCGGCCCCCCCCCCGCGGCGCGGTGACGTCAGCGTGACGCCGAACAACAGCGCACCGCCCTGAGAGAAGACTACATCTCCCGGCGTGCCACGCGCGGCGCCCCGCCATGCGCAGAGACTGCTTCCGCGCGAAGCACGCCGGGAGTTGTAGTCACCGCGCATGACACTGGGCCGCCGCGGCTGCGCAGTGGGGCGGCGCGGGCGGGAGGCGGCGGGTTCCGCCTCGTCACGCCCACCCACGGCGGCGGCGGAGGGTGGCGAGCCGCGGGGCCGGCGGAGAAGCTGCTGTCGCCTCGCTTCGCCTCCCGCTCGGACTCGCTCTCGGCCGGGCCCTCCCGTCCTTCCCGCGGAGCCCACCCGAGGGGCTCGCCATGTTCTCCAGGAAGGGCCACGCCGACGCCAGGAAATCCACGCAGAAAGCTCTAGACCCCAAGCGGGACGTGCTGACCCGCCTCAAGCACCTCCGGGCGCTGCTGGGTGAGTGAGAGCCGCCCCGCCCCGCCCCGCCCAGAGGGAAGCGGGCTGCGGGCGGGAGCGGCTGACGGAGCCCTGAGGGACCCTGAGGAGCCCCGAGGGCGGCGGCACGGCGCACAGCCGCAGCCCCGCGGCACCGCGCGGCTACGCTTTCAAATCTCCCACCTCACAACAAAGGGCTCCGAGCCGGCGGGGCTGGGCTTCGGCCCCTGAGGGAGAGAGCTGGTGCGGGGCTGCGCTGCCCGAGATGTCCGAGTTAGCAAGCGATGAGTGCCTCTGGGTGGCAGAGGTGGTTGGTGTCGTTTGGTGGTAAAGTAGTGGGAACCGGTGGTTGTTTGGGTGCAAAATAGCCAACAGCCCCGCAGGATGCGTCTTCAGAAGACCGGTGCGTCTGAGTTGTTGTTCACTGGTCGGTGTGGATCGATGGGCTGAGCCCGGCGGGATGAGCCTCACCAACTCGAGCGCCGGGTGCTGCACTTTGGCCACAGCAGCCCCACGCAGCGCTGCAGCCTTGGGGCAGTGGCTGGCAAGCTGTGCGGAGGTAAAGGCTGCGGGGCCGTTAGCTGACAGCCGGCTGAACGTGAGCCAGCAGTGTGCCCAGGTGGCCAAGAAGGCCAACGGCACCCCAGCGTCTGTCAGCAGCAGGAGGTGAGAGACCCTCCGCACTGCCACTGGTGAGGCCGCACCTGCAGTGCTGCGCTCAGCGCTGGGCCCTCACTGCAGGAAAGACACCGAGGGCTGCACCGTGTCCAGAGAAGGGCAGCGGGGCTGTGAGGGGTCTGGAGCACAAGTGTGATGGGGAGCGGCTGAGGAACCGGGGCTGTTCGGTCTGGAGAAGAGGAGGCTCAGGGCAGACCTATGGCTCTGCAACCACTCGAAAGGAGGCTGTGTGAGGCGGGGTCGGCCTCTGCTGGCAGGGAACGGCCATAGGACGAGAGGGGATGGCCTCACGTTGTGCCAGGGGAGGTTCGGGTTGGCTGCTAGGAACAATTCCTTCTCCAGAAGTGATTCTGCACTGACACAGCTGCCCAGGGAGCGGTGGGGTCACCTGGAGGAGTCCCAGAGCCGTGGGATGTGGCACTGAGGGACGTGGGCAGCGGGCACAGTGGGATTGGGTTGTGGTTGGTGGTCTTAGTGGTCTTTTCCAACTTTAATGATTCTGTGATTCTAATTTGTCTATTTATTTTAACTTTAAGGAGCTTGTGTAACTGTAGTTTGGGATATACTTTCCTTGTCTGTTGCAGGGTTGAATCTCTCTCTTCAACATCTCCTACAGCGGAAGTCTTAATGCCTCTCTTTTGTTTCAAAACACTGAAACCTGTTGCTGAATTTTGATGGTAATCTAAGTCTTGCAGGGGTTTAGATAGCCTTATGCTCTGCTGGTGAGAAAACAGCAGCAGGAAGTAGCTCTTCTAAGCGCTCTCAGGCACAGTCCTGGTTTAGGAGAATCAGTGGTGGTGTTAATACTTGTTAACCTCATTTTGATTTACTTTCTGAGAGACAAGGAGGAAAAAGTGATGCACGAAACTTCCATTTGTTGTGTATGCTGCTTATTTTTTGAGTCTGGTGGCCCATCTTGGCCACAGCTAACCATTATGTGGGAGCCTCAGAGGAGTCTTGTTAGCTGCAAGACTTCGGTAGCTGGTTACAGGAAAGAGCCCAAGGTTAGTGACTTTTGAAGAAAGAGAAGTCAGTCACTGTTTCTGCATCGTTCCCCTTGGTCACTGCACGTGCTGGCTGTCAGCCGCTGGTACCATCTAGGTGGAAGCGCAGGCTTTGTGGAGTCCTCCCAGTGCTCTGCCTGTGGCGTCAGGCTGCATGAGGGAACCTCGCTGTGGTCTGCAGCATGGGTCAGTGGGGCTTGAGGTTAGAAGCCTCTTCCTGCAGCATTTCAGTGACGGGAGAAAATACATTAGGAGCTTTCTTGATGTGCTGTAGCAAAGTGAGCAGCTTTTGTAGTGACAGTGCTGTACGTGGTCCTGAGTGAGAAGACAGTGATGGGTCTCCCTCAGGACACTCACTTTGGGATGGCTGTGCTCTGTGAGTGCCAAAATGAATGAGTAGAAGTCTCTGATAGTTTAGCAGGTTGTGGATGTACTTGTGTTGGGTTGGTTTTTTTTTCTTATAGGTTTTAATCCAACTTGTCTGTGATTTAAACGTGATACTTCTCCATGCATTTAGCGAGCTTATCTCAAAAGAGATTTTTGGGGGTAGTTAATAAGTGGAAAAAGTGCTGGACAGGTGAGTAGGCAGTCTCATGTTATGCTCTACAAGTAGCATTGTTTTGATATATATGTATTTTTTTATCCTCCCTGGGGACCAAACTTGTGCATTTCTTGTACTAGAGGTGTGTAAAATGTTCTGTTTGGTTGGTTTTGTTTGCTTGTTTTTAAATCATACCATGTATCTGCCTGCCTAAGGATTTTGGCAGGCGGAAGATACATTATGCTCATGCACTGCAACTGTATATTTAACTTATTGGCTATGTGCTCCACAAACTATACTAAAATAATTTCAAGTTTCATTTTAAGTAATCTGGGGAAATGTTTTCTTTACCAAATGAGGTTTTAGAACATGTTGTGAAACCATCCTGAAGAAAGATCGTTCTAGGAGTCAGGGCTGGCAGACATTTTTTCCTTTACGTCTCCCCTCACTAAAATAAGCAGGCCTGAAGAAATCCAAAATATGGCAGCTTTTAGTTTGTGTTCCCTTTTCAGCACTCGTGTTTCGTAGATGACAAGTCCAGAGTTCAGTCAGAAGTTACAGCCCTTCTGGGGTCGTTGTTCCCTGCCCCCCTCTGCTTCTCTCTGCCCACAGTGGCACTTGTTCTTGGAGTGATTGAGCAGATGTCATTGTGTTGTCCTTTGTTATTGCACAAAGTCAATGCTAAGTGAAATGGCATTTACTCTGCTGAGATCCTACTGATGTAGGAGGGTAAAAATAAGAGGAAGGAAGATAATAAGAGGGCTGGGAGGGGAAGGAATGTTTATTTCCTTCAGTAAGGAGTTGTGTGAGCAGCAGAAACAATAAAACCCTTTACGTGATTGATTCAGGCCTCTTAGCTGTCATCTGTGGAAGTTTTTATCAAAGAAAACCTTCCCTTTAAGTGTGTTGCTTGTAACATCCCTCAGGTCCCTTGAAGAATTGAGGCCCTTCTTCTGTGAGATGTGTCCTTGTTTGCTGGGCTGTCCCTCAGTGGGACAGTTGTTTACGGATGTGACTATGTGATGTCTGGAATGAAAACCTTACTGTTGTGAAGTGGGTGGTCACCTGTGTTAGGTACAATACGAAAGAATTCATTTTGTTAATTGCTGTGTGCGTGTTCTAGCCTTCCTGAGGAATTTTCATCTGTTGTCAAGAAAAGATGTGTCACAACACGGTGTCTTCTATGAATATGGTGCTGTGGGGCAGTGACCTGTGTTTACCACAGTGCTCTCCATTAATCAACGTGGGATCATTATTTGTATACAAATAATACAAGTGGAGGGGATATCACGGGGCACTTGAGCTTTATTTCATACTGGTGGGGAGCCTCTTCTTTGTGCTGGTGTTATCCTTGCTGATTTCAGAGCATCATTTGCCAGAGGGCTGCAGCACATGCTTGGGTCTTGAAACTTGTTTTATTGTAGGCTGGGAGTTGTCAAGTCTGTGTGTGGGTAGGATGATCTCTGGTGATTTCAGTTGGCTGCCACCTTTCACATAACACTTAGGAAATGAGAACTTTCCCTTTGCTGCTTGTGAGTGTGCTGCAAGCTGCCCAAGAGGTGGTGACGATAATACTGACTTAAGTGGCTGAACTTCAACTTTTTCTATGCTGACTAATGATAGAGATGATAACCTTGTGTTTGAATGGCTTAGGTTGTACTGCTCGAATGGTGTGAGCTTGCTAGTGATATTTTAGACACATTCAGAAGTTAATGCTTGCAAATGTCTGTGTTTGGAAAAACCATTGCTCCTTGGATTACCAGCAACGCTTGAGATGTTAAAATTATTTTAGAAATTGCTCTAACTAGAATTTATTTTTCAGTGATGGCCTTTTAGTAATGGTAACAGTTTCCTTGTGAAATGGACAGTCCCTGAAAAAAAGAACAAAACTGATCTTAGGGCTTTTACTTAGCATTTAAAGCTCTAATTGGAAACAATTGCCATTTCTTTTTCTGAGACAGTTAGTAAAAATAGCATGAAGTTTGTGGGGTGAGGCTGGTCATAAAAGTTTATCATTAACCAGAGCGTGACTGCAAAGTCATCTTTTCATCTCCTTTACTTCTTTCTAAGTACTTGAGACAAAGAAAATCCCTGGGGATTGTGAGAGCTGTATATAAATAACATAAAACCTCACATAAAACCACCTGACTCTGGAAGCTCATGGAATTAAGGGAGGCTTTCTCACAGCTTAAACAAATGCGGTAACACATCATAGTTAATACAGAAATAAGGGGAAAACCGGTGTGATAAGGACACAATTATTTTCATACATATATATATGTATATATTACGAACCAAGGAGAGCACTGAGCATGCAGTGCACTCAAATTCTTACTAGATAGTTCCTGGATAGTTAATTTCCTTAAATGTTAAGGTTAAGCAGTAAGAGAAGTGTGGGTGACTTGCCATCATTTAATGAGCTGATTTTTGTATCTTCTAGAGAAGGATTCTCATGTACACCCTCCAGAATGTCCTGCTGTTTCCTTCGTGTTGCTGTGAAAGCTGCAGAGCGCTCATGGGGAAGCATTAGCTAATGAACCACCTGACCTTGCATAGGGAATGGAGTCAGGTTATACGTGTTCTTGGAAAGGCACCAACTGTCTGACGGCTGGTAATGTTTGCCAGCTTGCCTTAGATTTTAGTACTCAGTTGTGAATTCAGAAGGTGGTTGTTTTTTGCTGGTAGTAATGTGAGGGTTACTTATCAGTCAATATAGACAGAAAAATAAATAGAAAAATATAACCTAACATCTGCAGTTCAGCTTTGCTCTTTAGTTTTCCTTCAATGCTTGTAAGTGTTTCTTCAGTCAGCTCGGTGCGGCAAAAGTCAATATTTAACCTTAGGATCTACACTGAGAAGTAGTAAACGACATTTGCTCAAAAATCATCTCGTGAAGGACTCTTTCTCATCTGCTTTTGTTGTGGTGATGGTCTCTGAAAAGGGCAGAAGCAGTGGGACTGGGGAGGAAGCTGTGCTGTGTGTGCTGCTGCCTGCCCAGAGGGGGGAGCCTGGAGGGGGGTTGCTGCTTTGCTCTTAATAGGAGAGCTGAGCAGTGGTGTCAGGATGACGGCTTGCTCACACAATTGCAAGAAAATCGTACGTTCAGAGCAGATATCTTGTCCTAAGGTAGCAGCCGGAGGTGTTGCTGATGGTTCAGAATTCAGAACCTTACGTTTTGAAACATAAGGTTTATTCTCCATATTCTCCAATTTATTCTCCGTATCCTGCAAAGGAGTATAAAGAACAAAGTAGTTCAGTAGGGAAAGGATGTGACTGAGAATGCATGCTTATGTCAGAGTAGCAGATGAGTCATCTCCGAAATGCCACATTTATAGAATAGAGAATTTACTTTTTTTTTTTGATTAGGCAGCTCCTTTCTCCTCCTTTCACAATTTAAAGGGAAAGTTTCCGTAATGAACTCATTCTTTCATATGAAAGCCTTGTAAATGAAAGCCTTGTTTTCTCCTAGAGTTGTGTTTAACAACGCATTCATAGAGGGGAATAATTGCACTTAACTTGCAAATTCAACACCAGTAGCTTGAAGGAAACCAATACCATGTAAAAGAGTTTCCAGGCACTAATTGTTGCCATACTGTAAGCATCCAAACAAAGCCTTATTGCAGAAAAGCTATCAATTTATTGTTTCAGGGGATAAAAAAAGCACGAAACACCATGCTATTCAAGGCTAACATCAGTCTTTTGTTGATGTGTGATGTTGTTGGTTCTTCTTGTATTTAACTTTGTTGGCTTGGTTAATGAATGGCTTTCTTGAGAGGCTGTTAATAATTCTTAGGCTTTCTCTTCTTACTTCTGGGTGGAATTACATCTTTCCTTGGCCAAATCAATTACAGCAAAGAACAAGCATAATTAAAGTGCAGTTGGCAAATGTCATGTTTAGGAAATGTTAGGGTTTTTTTTTGTTTGTTTTTTTGCTTAAAAAATAAGTGTGTTTGAAATCTTAACTCTACATTAAGGCCCAAGGTAGTGTTGCATTAATGGGCTTCTATTATTTTTTAAAGAAATTGGAGATATGTTGATTTGTTGTTTGTTTGATTATTTACCGGATAAATTTAACAGCTAGATTTGCAATTAACTTCTGGAAATGATTGCTGGCATTTCTTTTTCTCCAGCAATAGCTGCCTGTTCTGGTGGTGCAGGAGCAGTATAGTCAAGTAGCCATCAAAACATACCCTGTAGAATATTTTCCTGTGTAAGTTACTTTAAAATTGGAAGTGGTTTGGAAACAGAAATGAAAACTGTAGATAAGATACAGCTCATGTTTTGGAAGTATTTCTTGAGCAGTGGGATTTCCAGCAGTCAGTCTGTAGCCCAGTGATCTCTGACCTCTGCTTCTAACATTAGCTGCCTCATGTGCTCAAAGTACTTTCCTACAGCTATTCTCTAGATTGCTTCAGTTTGGCCTGGGTAGGCTTATTTATTTACTAAATAGTTCTGTGACTCTTAATGAAAACTCCAGCTTTTCCCCTGCTTCCCATCCTCCCCAGGTAGGACGGTGTGCAGGTGGTGCCCCAGCTGGCACAGGGCTGATGACAGGCTCACCTTCCCTTGGTATCTTTTAATTTGTCAGTATTTGATGTAATTTACAAAAGTACATCAATTCCTTTCCGGAGTTGCATGCTGTTCTGAGAGAACTATTTCCAAATGCACATTAAAATCCATATGAAATGTGATTTCTGGTTGAGCGGTGCTGATGAAGATCTTCAGAGAGCAATATTCGCTGATGCCACAGTGATGCTTCAGCAGCATATTTGTCTTCCTCCTCCTCCACGTCAGCCTCAGGCTGTGTGTTTGTGAGCATTTAGTTTCTAGATCTTGAAATACGGGACAAGAAATGTCTCTAGCCCCTGCATAGTACATCATTTAGAATTAGTGGACTTTTTCTCTAATGATCTAATTTATTTCATCTTACTGGCAACAGTAATTTAAATCTGCGAGGTTGGACTGCTGGGCGCTCAGGTTTTTATTTACTGAAACAATTGGCTGTGTGATACAGGTTTAGCTCCTGAGAGAATCAGATTACTGGATTAAATTCACAGTGAAGGTACAAATAAGCTTCCTTCTGTCAAGCAGCAACACTGTATAAATTTCCACGAACGCTCTTAACTCTCTTTTCTGTAATTAAACTTGAAAATTATAAACAATTATAAATGATAGAGAAATCTGCAGTTGTTTCATTATAAAAGAAAGTGTTTCAATTTGACCTTTCTTTTTAACATGCCATTATTGTTTGGTGTTGAGGCAGTCACAGTGAATGTACCTTTGGTCTTTTAGAGCTGTGTTTTAGCCTTCACTTGGTCTTGCCCTTTTACTGAAACTTCCTGTGCAGACTTCCTCTACTCAGTGTAAAAGGTTGATTTTACCCTTGGATGAAGGTTCCATGCAATTATTATTATTATTTTTAAATGAATTGTTTTGAATTCACTGAGGATTCCTAATGATGTGTGGAATCTTTACAGACAGCTACAGGATGGCTGCTGTGTGGCGTAATTTTCAGAGTAATTAAAAAAATTGTTCATAAATGACTGAGCAGTGCAGTTGGCTATCAGATGGGCCAAAAGCCAGTCCATGTTCATGGCTAAACCATTTAGTACCTTTGCTATGTTTGGGTTCAGTCGTGTTACTTCATGCTGTGGGGCATGTGGAAGAATTTCTAGCAACGTACGCTTCTGATGATCCAAAAGGATTCAGTTCAGTACTTAATGTAACCCCAATGAGGAGATCTGGTGAATTATTTTGATAACAGGCAGCTTTCACATTTGTTAGCAAAAAATGTCTCTTAGGAGGTGTCCATAGCAACTCTTAAGAATTGCTATAGAAGCAATATATGGGTGCATCCTGTCTTTCTTTTTTAAGATGGAAAACAAACCTAAACAACACGCAAACTTTGAAAAACTGAATAAAAGCATACATTTTTCTATTTCATTTCTAATGATGGAAACACAATCTAGTATAAAATATTTAATGAAATCACTGGAATTGTTTCATAGTGCACTTCATTTTCCAGTTTGCATGAAGAGAAGTGTTTCCAGGTTTCAGATGTTGTGCAATAACTCCATTTGTTCTTCTTGCTAGATATTGTGGATGGAAGTGACCTGAAGCAGTTTTTTGAGAACAATTATTCTCAAATTTTTTTTATCTTCTATGAAAACTTCATAACACTGGAAAATAGCCTGAAACAAAAAGGTAAGTGTTAAGAGTTTAGCTGGCATCTTAATTTTACGGTATCAGTAGTGATGATCATAGAATCATAGACCATGGGAAGTTGCTGCTTGAAATACTGTAGGTAACTGACAGGAGTTGTAAATAAGTGTTTATGGTTTGAAGCATAATTTCTACACCAAAATTACGTCTTGTGCAATTCACATCTTCTCATCTTGTTTTGAAATGCTGATGGCCTTTACCATACATTTGAGTATATGTCTGTTCAACTGAAAAATATCAGAAAACCACAGAGCAAACCTGACCATTGAAGATAACACTGAGTAGAATAACTGGGTGCTCCAAGGTGAACCCAATCACATTGCTTTGCAGATATGGGACTCTTAACTATGCCCAAAGAGGGGGAGAGATACTGAAATTCAGAAATATCCTCCTCTTTTAATGCTAGATGAATTAAAATAAACCAAGTGCAGCATTGTTGACTTCAGTTGGGTAACAGCAGTGTATTTGCTCCACCCGTTTCATCACACCGCGTATTACGTCAAATGATGTTGTTTTCTTTCTTGCAGGGAATAAATCACAGAGGGAGGAGCTGGACTCCATTCTCTTTCTTTTTGAAGTAAGTTTTCCTTACTAGGGAACTATTTCTTCCTAATTGTGTGTGTTGTTGTCATTATGTGCTTGCTACTACCTTTACAATGTGAGGTAAAACCGGGCATCAGTCAAAACGACAGTAGGTGTCCCTGCCTGTAAGAGATAAAAGGCAGAAGAGAGCTAGGGTGTGCATTGTTTTCAGATACAGCAATAATAAAAACAATTATGCCACAGAAATATCTGGCTTGAAAGAATATCCAGAGTTAGATTTTATCGAAGACAAGTAGGCTAATTTAGCTTGCAGAGTAGTCTGAAATGTGGCTCTGGACAGTATCATACTGCTTAAGTATAGTTATTTTATTAGTTGGTATCCTTAGGGTGGAAGACAGCTTGGTTGACCCAGAAGTAGAGAGGAGGACGTGTGGGGGAAACTTCCTCAAACTTTGAACCTCAACAATAAAACTTTAAAGGAGAAATGAAATAAATTTAATTAATTTTTAGATCATAAATACTTTACAGATATAAAAATGTAGCTGCTCAGTTCTGAGAAATCTCATGGTGAATTTGTATGCCTTGCTGTATTTAGTTTTCCTTGCAGTACTTGAATGAGAATATGCTCAGAATATAAGTAGTACATTGCTTCTTAATTGTAAATCATTGTGTTTTGCTCTTAACTTCTTCAAGTTACTGTGCGCACTTGATAACGTGGTAGTTCACGATACGCAGAAATTTTAATTAATATATCCAATAAAAAAAAGGGTGAATAAGAGTACATCAGAACTTCAAGGTGGATTGCTTCTTGGTGAGAAGGTATGGCTCTAAATCTTGACTAGAGTAACTATTGCATTGCTTTCTGTAACTTAAGGAAAAGCTTGAGTATATTCATCTGTGTATTTGTTAGGTCAACTGCAGGTAATGTCTGTGAGGATGAAAAAATCTCTGGTGGCTAAAACTAGAGTTGTCTTTTGAAATATATTAGAAGGAAGTATTTAATACCTTGCTTTCTTTGCTACCCTTGCAACATGTTCTTCATTTAGATTTCTTCAATGTGCTACTTCGACTTCAGCTTTCAAAGTTGGGGTAGTTTTTCAAATCAGTATTCTCAGTTTTTGAACAATGAATTCTGACATCAAGGAAGTTGGATCCAAATTTTGGATTTCAGAGATGATAAGCTCAGGAAACAGGTGACATGTAGCTAAGTCTTGTTGTGTTCTGCATGAATTTGGTAGCCACATATATTAATGGTTTGTTTTCAAGAGTACAAAAGGAAATGTATCCTTCTGGATACTATAAGATATTTAAAATTGTGTCCACACAAGGCACACTTACCAGACTGGAAGATGCTTCCCATCACTGTAGAAGTATATGTTGTTTCCCAACATATGATTCTTCCACTAACAAGATGAGGCAGCAAGTGATCAAGGAGTGACAGGAATAAGTGAAAAGGAAAGTATCAATACAATTAAATTGTCTATTTCAGAAAACTTTTTTGATTATATTCAATTTGCAGTCAGAATTCCTTCAAATGTCAAGATCTGTCATCCTGTTTCCTTTTGAAGAGTGAAGACTGAATGTGAACAAATCTAAACAATTAGGCAAAAGAATCCTGTCATTCATGTAACACAAGAGATTTTCCTTTCGGGGTAAAACTGGTTGCTGAAATGCTGAAGCAGTATGCGAATGTAATTCTTCTTTAAATCTCATGGCACTTCTTATAGTAAGATTTTTCTTTTCCATTTTACTGTACTTTAAAAACCCCAAACCTGAAAGGTGTCATTCTTGTTACATGATAACAGTAGTGTTGAAATGTAAGAAAATCGTGAAGGAGTCGAGAAGAGCAGCCAGGGATGGAGGAAGAAGAAATGACAAGACAATCACAGAATCACAGAATCACCCGGGTTGGAAGGGACCCCAAGGATCATGTAGTTCCAACCCCCCTGCCTAGCAGGGCCACCAAACATACACATTTAGATCAGGTTGCCCAGGACCCCGTCCAACCTGGCCTTAAACACGTCCAAGGACGGGGCATCCACAACCTCCCTGGGCAGCCCGTTCCAGGGCCTAACCACTCTCCTAGTAAAGAACTTCCCCCTAACATCCAACCTAAATCTTCCCTCCTTCAACTTAAAACCATTTCCCCTAGTCCTGCTGTTATCAGCCCTTCTGAACAGTTTACTCCCCTCCTGGGTGTAGGTTCCCTTCAGGTATTGATAGGCTGCAATGAGGTCACCCCGCAGCCTTCTCTTCTCCAGGCTGAACAAGCCCAACTCCCTCAGCCTGTCCTCATAGGGGAGGTGCTCCAGCCCCCTGATCATCTTAGTCGCCCTCCTCTGGACCCTTTCCAAAATCTCAATGTCTTTTGTACTGAGGGCTCCACACCTGGACACAGTATTCCAGATGGGGCCTCACAAGAGCCGAGTAGAGAGGGACAATCACCTCCCTGTCCCTGCTGGCCACCCCTCTCCTGATGGAGCCCAGGATCCCATTTGCCTTTCGAGCTGCCAGAGCGCACTGCTGGCTCATATTCAGTCTCTCGTCCATCAGGACCCCCAGGTCCTTCTCTGCCGAGCTGCTCTCAAGGACCGCTCCTCCCAGCCTGTACAGGTGCCTGGGGTTCTTCCGGCCCAAATGCAAAACCTTGCACTTTGCCGTGTTGAACCTCATCAGGTTCACCCGAGCCCAGCCCTCCAGCCTGTCGAGGTCCCTCTGAATGGCATCCCTTCCTTCCACCGTATCAACCGTACCACTCAGCTTGGTGTCGTCAGCAAACTTGCTGAGGGTGCACTCAATTCCCTCATCGATGTCATTAATAAAGATGTTAAAGAGCACCGGTCCCAAGACAGACCCTTGGGGGACACCACTTGTTACCGGCCTCCACCTGGACATAGAGCCATTGACCACCACCCTCTGTCTGCGGCCTTTCAACCAATTGCTTATCCATCGGGTCGTCCACCCATCAAATCCACTTCCCTCCAATTTGGAGATGAGGATGTGGTGGGGGACCATGTCAGAGGCCTTGCTCAGGTCCAGCTAAATGACATCGGTCGCCTTCCCTTCGTCCACCAATGCCGTCACTCCATCATAGAAGGCCACAAGATTAGTTAGGCATGACCTTCCTTTGGTGAAGCCGTGCTGGCTGTCTCGGATCCCATGCTCATTCTTTATGTGACCGAGCATGTTGTCCAGGAGGATCTGTTCCATGATCTTCCCAGGCACGGAGGTGAGACTCACCGGCCTGTAGTTCCCCGGGTCCTCCCTGCTCCCCTTCTTGTATATGGGAGTGACATGACCCTTCCTCCAGTCGTCCGGGACCTCACCTGACAGCCACGACTTCTCAAATATGATGGAGAGCGGCTCGGCAACCACCTCAGCCAGCTCCTTCAGGACCCTGGGATGCACGCCATCCGGCCCCATAGACTTGTATTCATTCAGTCTAAGGAGGCACTCTCAGACTTGCTCTGCCCTTACAGTGGGGAGGGATTTACCTCCTTGGTCCCCACATAGAGGTTTGGGGATGCAGGGTTCAGGGACGTGAAAAAGACTAGAATCCTGGCCACCAGTGAAGACCGAGGTGAAGAACTCATTCAGCACCTCAGCTTTCTCTTCATCTGTTGAAGCCAGTTCTCCTTTTAAATTTACCAAAGTAGGTACGCCCATTTTGCCCTGTCTCTTCTGGGCAATGTACCTGTAGAAGGTTTTCTTATTGTTTTTCACGTCCCTTGCCAAGTTCAGTTCTGCCTGCGCCTTGGCTTCCCTGATCCCACGTCTGCAAGTCCAGACGGCATTCCTGTACTCTTCCCAGGTGACACAGCCTTGTTTCCAGAGCTTGTGCACCCCTTTCTTCGCCCTCAGTTCTCTCAAGACAAGACAAGGTTCGTTTTCATGTTTCAAGATGAAGCAGTATCTTGGCTCTGTCTGCATTTCATCTCCAAGTGAATTGAAAGCTATGTTTTTGAGGAAACAGGATCAGGTCTCTGAAGATGTCCTGTTATTCCTTTTCCTTATCTAAAGAAAGAAAACAAGACATCTTTAATTTAATGTTTTTGCTTCTGTAATACATGGGATGATGAATTCAAGGCAACACAATGAAAGTTGCTCTGAAAGTAATGCCTCCTATTTATTTCTGTGGAGACTACGGTAGATAAAAAGAGCACAATAACACTTTGATAGAGCACATTGTCTGCTACAAAACACTATTTTTCAGCATAGTCACCACCATTAGCTGTGCATTTTTGCCAGCAATGAACAAGAGCCTACATGGCTGGTCTTTCACATCGCTGTTGCCACTTGGTCTTGTTAGACTTAGTGCTGTTAGTGATTGTCCAATAACTCATCAAAATCTGCAAGGCCTCTCTGCCCTCAAGGGAGTTGACATCTCTTCCCAATTTAGTATCATCTGCAAACTTACTGAGTACGCATCTGAGTCTCGTGTCCAGATTATTTATAGAAACATTGAAGAGAACTGGCCCTAAAATGGAGCCATGTAGAACCCCACTAGCGACTGGCCATCATCCTGAGGAGGTCCCATTTACTGTGAGCTTTGAGCCCAACCTGTCAGCCAATTGCTCACTCATCTTCTTAGGTATTTGTGGACATTTTGTCCATAAAGATACAGTGAGAAACAGCGTTGAAAGCTTTTCTGAAATCCCAAAAGATTACATCTGCTGTCTTCCCTTGGCCATCTCGGTGTGTAACCTTGTAATCAAAGGAAATTAGGTTTGTTAAACTGGGCTTTCCCCTTGTGAACCTTTGCTGGTGGCAACAATGACTGCATTGTCTTGTAGTTCTTTTTCAATAACTCTCAGAATGATCTTCTCCATAATTTTACCAGGCACTGAAGAGAGACTGACAGGCCTGCAATTACTAGTGTCTTCTTTCTTGCCCTTTGTGAAAATCAGAACGTTTTCTATCCTCCGGTCAACTCTGCAACTTCTCCAGGTTTCCAAGCCCATTTAAAAAAAGATAATAATTAAGAGAGGTCTCGTGATAACATCAGGGTATTAAAAATACTGGCTGATAGGAATT